CTTTGCTAAAAGGCTTGATATATACATTTAATCATCTCTAATAATCTCTCTCACAGTGTGGAAATAAAGGAAGAAAAGCACAAGTAATACTTTGAAGAATAATGCTAGTTGTTTAGATGGCAGATTGCTTCTCCATGGCTATTAGTTACAGCTGTGTAATTACATATATACTGCAGGGAAAAAATGAATTTGTTTTAAAACAAGTCGTCTTCTGTGAGCAGAATTAATTGATATTAACAATCCTAACTATATGCCCAAGAACATACACAATATTTTACCAGCAGTTATTTTGGATCAGTCTCTTATTAGCCAAATTGTAATTTCAGAAGAAATTGGCCTGAAGGCTAGCAATAAATCTGTGTTGCATTCTTCCTTGGGCTTGGATAGCGGGGGACCCTGTATTTACAGTTAGAGTAGTAGGAGGGGAGAGGAGACTTCCAGGAACTGTGATTTATTTTTCCATTGAGGTTATTTGCATCTGTTATTATTTGGATTGTACTCGGTTGTGCAGTAAAATGCATTTGAATGGTGTGAATTAAACTGGCTCAAAGGCTTTTCCTTTTTCTTTTTGAGGACACCCCCCTGCACTCATTGCTGAAAATTCAACACTCCATGAGAATAATAGCATGCAGAACTGGCTTGGAAAGAAGGCTATGAATTGCTGTGCCTTTTCTTAACCTTACAACACGAGCCTAACTAATCATGTTTACTTCAGAAATAAGTCCTGTTGAGTTCAGTGGGACTTAATCCATAGTTGAGGGTTGCAGACTCTTCTTAGGTCTGCAGACCAAAGCGAATGTGTAATGTGGCTTTCATGTTACACTTAACATTGTCCTCAAGCTTGGGTGTGACTTGTTAGGTTCTATTCATCTCTGAGACATTCAGACATTCAATCTAACAGTAAAGCTTTTGTTGGGATGTACCCTTTCAGAGTGAAGGTGGGAGATAACATTTTTTAATATTTCCCCATTGAAAAAACTCCTTTCTAGAAAGCAAATTAGCATCTCCAGGAGAAGTGTTCAGCCTTTTATCTCACATGCTGTTCTTCTATGTGCAGGGAAGTTTTATTTGGAACAGAGGATGTTCAGATTGCTTTTCCTTACAGTGGAGCATTCCAGGAAAAGCCATAACATTTTATTCTGCTGAATGTATGCATTGGCCTAAAAGATCTTCTATCTTTGTTTGAAAGTTAATTATTTTCCCTCGTAAAAATCACAATAAACACACATCAGAAGTAAAAGGGAAAGGAGGGTTGTACCCAATTCTCATCCTACTCAGAGCAGAGCAGTTGGAGTTAATGGGCCTGGCTAACTTAAGACTCATTAATTTCAGTTGTCTTCTCTGAGTAAGGGTAAAGGTAAAGGACTCCTGGACAGTTAAGTCCAGTCAAAGGCGACTATGGGGTGTGGCGCTCATCTCGCTTCAGGCCGAGGGAGCCAGTGTTTGTCCACAAACAGCTTTCCGGGTCACGTGGCCAGCAGGACTAAACTGCTCCTGGCGCAACGGAACACTGTGACAGAAGCCAGAGCACATGGAAACGCAATTTACCTTCCTTCTGCAGCAGTACCTTTTTGTCTACTTACACTGGCATGCTTTAGAACTGCTAGATTGGCAGGAGCTGGGACAGAGCAATAGGAGCACACAACGTCGTGGGGATTCCAACTGCTGACCTTCTGATCAGCAAGCCCAAGAGGCTCAGTGCTTTAGACCACAGCACCACCCACGTCCCGCTTCTCTGAGTAGGATTAGCATTGGATATAACCCCAGCAAGACTTTTTGCATCTTCTGTCAAGGTCAAAATACCATTTTCTGTCTGCTTACTACTACTTCTGCAGTAAGTAGACAGCCTCTGATTCTGAACTGCCCTCTGCCACAGCCTCTTCCTGCTCACTAAACCCTGTCTCCTCTTCTGCTTCCGACACCACCTCCTCCCAGCCTGCTCTCTTCACCCTCTCACCACTCATTGTCATTCCACCCCCCATTCCCTGGCTCTGAGTCTTCTTCCCTTGGGGGTTCCTTAGCTGGTGCCTCTCCCCATTCCTTGACATCCAGCCAGTCCATGACATCAAACCACTCCTGGTTAGCATTTGAAACCCTTCTCTGATTCTTGTGCTGAGAAAGGGGAAATAAAAGTGGCAGGTGGGAGAAATTCTATGTAGAGAATGGAGCTGGAGTTTTTTGGAGGGAGGACTTGGCAGTTTGTCTTGTGTTCAGTGATAGAGCAGGAGGTTAGGCAAACAAGGCTTGATTGGTAGTTGTGCTACGAAATTCTTTGTGTCGGCTACGTACCATTTTTTGGTCATTCTCCCAAGTTAATTGTTACTTAGCCAGCTTCTTTCTCTCTTTCTTCTTTGAATGGATGGTAAGCATTATTGTCAGTGAAACCGGGTGAAGAAATAAATAAAGCCTTAGCATTTCTGGGGATTCAGAAGAGGACAAGAGTAAAAGAAAAGAAAAATGGAACAAGGGGTTTTCTTAATAGATGTTCCCATTGAGAAAGATAAATGGTATCTTAGCAAGTTACTTTAATTACTTGAGGACAGAAATTATTTATCCCATTTAACTCTGGAGCAAAATTACATACACAAGAGAGTCAAGAAGCCCTTTAGAATAAAGGTTTAGCTTGGGAATGGAATTGCTGTCAGATGCTGTAGTGTACTTTAGGACAAGCAGCCACTGCTATAATTATGCTATCATATCCTATCATTAAAGATTCCGTTGAAAAAAGGTTTATAAATTACTCCTCTTTCAGATAAACCACCCCATATTAAGGCATCAACGATATGGTGCAGAATTAAATTAGAATCTCATAAAATGAAATATGTTCTGTATTAGCTGTTTGACACTTAATTTGCCTCCAAATGAGTAGAGGAAATCACAAATTAACCTGCCTTTGTTTTTCCAACCATAGCTTATTAGGTGTTAGAACAACCGCAATTACAGCCAGATAATAACCCCCTCCCCAACCTTATGAATATGTACTGAAATGTGTCACTTTGAGTTAATGAAACCTGTTTGTTAGGACTTGTTTAGATTTCTTAGTATTCCTATTGTACATCTTCAATTTACAGCTTAGCATGAATAAACGTAAAACTTAAACTGTTTTTCAGTAGCAGCATTTAAAGAGCATTAGAATTTGTGCGTGTCTTGCCTTCTAAAAAAAGACACATTTCTGTTTTGGGATGAGTACTATTAAAACAGCTTGTTTTATTTAAAACATTTATATCCTGCCTTCCTGTGGGCTCATGGCAATCTGCAATAAGAAATAATATCACAACATCTGTAGCAGCTCTAAAAACAACAGCTATAAAACAAAATAAATTTAAAGCACAATTATATTAGTAGCACAAATAAACTAACTTACTCTACATCAGTAATATGCGCCAGCTGAATATTTGCAGCCCCAACATCCTGCAAAATAAGTAAGTTTGGAATGATCCAGTTCTACCATGTGTGCAGTGCCAATGTATAGAAGTTTCTTACAGGACTCAACAGAGAACTGTTAACCACTTCCTTCTGTGCAATGCAGTTCTGTACTTGCAAACATGCAGAAGTTCCACTATGCTTATTAGAGCTTACTCTCGAGTAAGTGAGTGCAGAATTGCAACTTTTGTATGTGTGCAGTACTGTACATGCAGGCAGCAAACAGATTGTTTTCTTAGTTGTAGTTATGTTTTAATATTTATTTTATTAAATTTATATTCCACATTTCTTTGATCTTCTTTGATGGAAGAAATAATGCAGAAACTATGGGTTAGATTTAATTAGATTAAATGTAACGGGGTGGAAGAAAGCAAAAAGAAGAAAGTGTATTTTTCAATTCTAATTTCATTAGCCTTAACAGTTAACTCCTTCAGCTATTTTATTTCCCAGTTTAGCCCTGTGTAAATTACAGTCTTCTTCTGTTGTGATAAATAACAGCTACTTACCAATGGCTGATTGAATGTACATAAAATATTTGAATGCCTTAAATACAAGTAATGCTCAGAGCTTAATATTTAAAATAGTTTTAGTTGCTTAGAAGTAAATCATGTCCATGTTACAGTTTGCATTTGGCATTAGACAATTTTGATAAAATAGCTTTCAATAAAATGAATACATTTAAAACAAAACACCTGTAGCATCTCCAGGGAATTTCATTTGTTACAACCTTGCTGTCCACAATGAAATGGCTGTATGCAACCTCAAAAACATGGCTACCTGTGAGCAGCAGGATTGAATATTGGGTTTGCCATGAATATGTAGACATTCCACGCAGAGATGTGTAACCATGACAGTCATAAACCAGCCATGTGATTCGCACTACCTTGATCATATAATGCATCTTTAGAATGAACACTGTATTGAGCAGAATATAGAACAATGGGACATGGAGCACAGTGTTAGCAAGCAGTGAATTGGGACTGCTGTCCCATCTGTCTAATAAACATACCCCGTTTGTGGGCTGTTTTCAGTTTGTTATTTATAAATATTTGTAATTCCACCATGATTGTCTATTATATACATTTTTGTTTCTTTGGCAAAAGAAATTGGGGCTGTATAATAGAATTCATAGTACAGTGGTACCTCGGGTTACATACGCTTCAGGTTACATACACCTCAGGTTACACACTCCGCTAACCCAGAAATAGTGCTTCAGGTTAAGAACTTTGCTTCAGGATGAGAACAGAAATTGTGCTCTGGCGGCACGGCGGCAGCAGGAGGCCCCATTAGCTAAAGTGGTGCTTCAGGTTAAGAACAGTTTCAGGTTAAGAACAGACCTCCAGAACGAATTAAGCTCTTAACCCGAGGTACCACTGTACACGCAGGTCCTGCTACGCAAATGCTCGTTTATGAAAATTCACTTATCCAAATACAAGGAATTGGTGCCCAAACCTTGCTTTATGCATCACAGATTCAGATATTCAAACAGCCAGCGCTGTGTGTAGTACAGAAAACATGGTGGGAGGGAAGAGGGGAAGATCCGGTAAATAAAAGAACATTTTTCCTTCCTTGTTTTTGTGCTCGCTCCGGCAGTCCATATACTAAAATTGGAACAATACAGAGAAGATTAGCATGGCCCCTGCTTTTGCAGGGTTTTGAAGGGTTTCCATCACTTGGGGGGGGGTCAACATTCTGTGCTCCAGAGGGAGCAGATAGTTCATAGGGTCTAAGTGGACTACAGATTTTGTTTCTAAGAAATATTGTGTCAGATTCCGACTAAACATCAGGAAGAACTTTCTGACAGTAAGAGCTGTTAGGCAGTGGAGCAGACTGCCTTGGGAAGTGATGGATTCTCCTTCCTTGGAGGTTTCTAAGCAGAGATTCGATGGCCATCTGTTAGGGATGCTTTAGTTGTGAATCCTCCATTGCAGGAGGATTCACAACTCTACAACTCTATGATTCTGTGAAGGCAAAAGAGGCAAACAGGCCCTTCAATGGCTACATGGGGCCATTGGTGTGATACATGGAATGAAATCCTGTTTCTGATACTGATGCCTCCAGAAGAAGTACAGTAGTACTAAACAGAGAAAAGACTAGCATGGAACCCTCGGTAAGAGAAAGAAAATGGTTCTTAGAAAGTGCTAGGCATTATGTGTTGAGTGTAGCTTAGAAGATGTTTTTGCTGGATCAGATGTACATCACTATGCATCTTACTCTAGGACTGAAAAGTCAGCTGGAAAGAGTTTTTCCAGTAACTGGCCTCTTACAAGCCAGGAAAGAGGAAGCCTGGAGTCTAGACCAGAGCTGTGGTCTCCTGCTTTAGGTATGGAGTGATATTGCATCATTTATAAAACTCAATGGGAGTTTTGTATAGATTTAGTGACTTTTTTGGCACTGTATGTGGATCCTTCTATCTGGAATTCATCAATCTTCATTTGGAAATATATCTGCAAAACTGGTCCAAAATTAGTTTGTGCTCCTGAGACTCAATGAGGGGGTCTGTGAAAAACTTGCAAGTAACCCAGTATAGCATGGTGAGTGCTTCCCCTTAAGGTGGGATTTCAGCTTCCTCGGATAGAGCAAATAGGGGCAGCCTGATACAAAAGGACCCATGTAAGGCAAGGGATTCCTTTAAGGTCAGAATACATTGGACCTGAGGCCAGTATTTTCATGGTTACTTACAAATCAGCCTTCTTTCAAGCTGGTCAGGCCAGCAGGTACAAGACTGTTTCATTTTGTAGAGAAGGCAGTGACTCGCCTGAGGCCACCCTGTGAGTTCCATGCCTTAGTGGGGCTTTCAAGACAGCACTTCCCACTGCAAGTCCTCTGCTGTTTGCCTGCCCGAGTTGTCTGCATCAACTCTCTGAGATACATCTGACTTCAGCTGCACAGCATGCCAGATGAAATCCAGGCACAGGCTTAGAGAAAAAAGGTCTGTGTGGGTGGAGCGTTAGACCCCTTTTAGAATTTGAAATTTGCAGCTGAACCACTTCTTCATCCTGCCCCCCCCCGAAATTTAGCTTAATTTTTATAGAGTGCTTAATTTGGAAAAGCCCAGAGCAGTTCACAAATCAAAATGTCAAAGACGAAACAAATCAAAATAAAGCCATAAAATCCTTTTCAACCTTAAATAGCCCATTGGCTTTCACAGTTACACAAAAAATCCTAAATATTATAGGCAGCAATTAATACCCCTTCCCAAAAATGAAATGCATAAATACTGAAATATTTTATTTAAAATATTTCTTAACTGCCCTTCTTCAAAAGATTTGAGGGCCATGTAGAAAGTACAGAAGATGTATATCAAATTGTTCTCAGGGCAGAGAACAATACCATCAATAAAACAGAGCAGATAAAGCAATGATTACCATAATCTTAAAAAACAAAATGGTGGACTATGCTGATAAACTACAAAAATAATAATTCTTAAATCCCCGAGAAACAACCAGGTCTTAAACTGGCACTAAAGAGAAACCACCGTTGGTGCCAGGCAGACATCAAAGGGTGTTAAACAGTTGGTGCTACCACAGAGATGACCCTCTCTTACTTCATCCCATAATGTATAGCTCCCATAGGTGGGGTGTGGAGCATAATTGCCCTTTCAGTGTAGTCCTCGTGATTATATAAAGTTTGAAATGTAGAGGGATGATTAGTACACTTGTTTGTTAAAATACCGTAATGTTGAACTGAGTGTGCTGCAGTATTCATTTTGTATATAAAATTCAGGACATCATTGACCTATCTGTGGCAAAGAATGAACAAGTGGGATATTTTTTGCTTCTGGAGTTTCTTGAACAAAGTTCCTGTGCTTTTCTTTGTGCTGTAGTCAGCATTATTAGGCAGTGAGCAGATATTGACTGCGGTATTCAAATTCAGTGAACTGGAAGGAAGGCAGCTCTATAGAGGCTGCTGTCAAACCTGTTGCACTGGCCTGTGAGGCAGTGGAAGTGTGACAGACTTTTTTTTAAAAAAAGTATAATACTGTACTTCCATTCTTGTTAAGTCTTGCTTCAAAGATGACTAAAATTTACAGTCTTGGCTTTTATTGTTTTTAAAGAGAAATAAAATTTACAAACTTTGTTGTTGTTGTTTTTTAATTGTTCAAGACTAATATCAAAATGTCCATGTTGCACAGCAATGGTCTGTGTGAAGATAAAAATAAATCATACCTTTGTGAAAGTGACACTAATGTACATATATCGTCTGTGAAACGAAAGTAATTTCTTCCTTAACCATCCTTCAACACAATGCTCATCCATTTTGATTAGTGCACATCACCCTCTCACTAAGAAAAGGCAAAACTCTCCTAAATTCAAACTAGAGGCGCCAGGAAACTTCACTGGATTCAGGCACGGAATTGAGCATCAGGAACTTGGTAATGCTCACTTCAGAGGAGAGGCCAGCATTGAAAATCCACAAATTCTTCCCCGACTAGATTAATTGGAGCTGGAGAAGACCTCCCTGCTGGGAACACTGGAGCTGGAGGGCAAACCCCACCTTCCTAGCAGGGTCACTTAGCCCAGTGGCATGGTCTCTCCCCACCACTGTCTGAGCTTTGGTAGGGGTCTCTCTTCATATCAGCCCTCCAGCAAACCATGGCTCTGGGGGAACTGGGAGGAGAGGCAAACATTTCTTCTCATGGGGCTCCCAGTGTGCCATTGGCGTTGGCTTTCTCCCCAATTGTTTCAGGGGCAGCTCCTCACAAGTGTCTCCTAGCAAAGATGGTGATGCTTTGAAGCTGCTCCTTACTGGTCACCCTCTTGCCTTAGAGCTGGATTTTAGCCCCACACCCATTTTTCTAGAGTCAATTGGCCTTTAGCGCAGGGTGATCAAATGAGTAGGCTCATGACACTAACGTGGACTGACGGTATGATGCATAGCAGGGCCTCCTAATCAGGGCTGGATTTGGAGGAAGAGCGGTCCTAGACTGCTCCACTTGCGAGGCCCCTCCCAATCCCCACCCTCACGACTAGAAGAAAATGGAAGAGTGTTATAAACAAAACTGAGTGAAGCCAAGGATGACGATGGGTATTAAACATTTTTGCAACTCACTATTTTCTCCTCTAAAGGACATAAGATGTTATTGTTAAATACCATGGTGATTTTTAAAAATGCATGAATGTTAAAAGTAACACTGAAAAACTTTTGCAATAACTGAACTTTGTAAACCTTTTGTGGAATAAGCATTACTTTTTAGGAAAATGAAATTGTAATGTACTTTTTAAAAAACCTTGAGTTTACAAATTATATTGCCTGGGAGGTGTAAACAATATGATCATGATTACCTGACAGTGTGGCATTTTTAGAATCTACTTTATGTTCTCAGATTTAAAATACATATTAAGAAGTAAACTACAACCATCAAATAAAGTAAGACTACAAATGTTTTTTTCTAGCCTTCCTCATAGCAAAAATCATCCAAAACTTCGTCAAAATTTGTTTGTCTAAGTTTGTCACTTTCAAAAGGCAATTGGAGCAATTGGGCCAAATTGGATCCTGCGGGCCGCTCCTAAGGGGCCCCCCACACCAAGGCAATCTAGATGGGTTTTATTTATAGCTCTTAAGATTTTGCAGAATTTGGCTGTGAACTAGGGCCCCACAAAACAATTTCAAGTTGGGCCCCAGAGTTTCAAATTGGGCCCCAGTGGCTGGCCCTGAGACTCATAGTTGCTGGGCCCGAGTTGCCCTGCCTTTGCACAGTTTTGGGTTTGCAATTTGGGGAGAGGGGAGACTGCCTGCTGGGGGTGGGTGGGCTGGGGAGGCCCCCTGGATTTAGAGGCCCTAGGCTCCAGCCTACTTAGCCTATACATATACCCGGCCCTGATCCTAATGCTTAAACAGAAAGGTGGTGGGTGGAGTCACCAGTGACCTTAAAACACATTTTACATACATTTTGTGTCTGCATAACAATGTTTAATAGGGATCCTGCTGATAATCAACACAGTTGCTAATCTGTAGCATGGTATAGTGCATGTTAGTTTTGAATTTCCAGGGCAGAAATGAAAAGCATGCAGGATAATTAACATTACCAGCCATTATTAAGGACAATTACGAACCTGTAAATGATATTTTTAAACCATAGCATTATTCACACTTTCAGAATCTTAGCAGCAAACATACGGTCAGTGATACATTTACTGTTTTGAGAAGTGAATTTGCCTTAAAAATTTACAGTCACCCTCTCTCATATATTTTCCTTTAATTCACAAGCTCACGTTACAACATGTAAAATCGTAATTAAAACAGAAGTCCCAGAGGGTTGTTGCTTAATATTGCGAACATGACTTATTTTAGGTGTTTGAAATGGAATGGATTTTTTTTCCTTTTAATGACTGAAAATATGTTAGAATCACAAAGCAGACATTGAGAACATGGAGGGTAATCTGAGAGCCTTTGTAGGCAGCTAGCCAGGATAAAGAAGTCCTTCATTGCTGCCAAGAGTACATAGGGCAAGGCAGAGAGGTTGAAACCTGTTGAAATAATAACCACTCTGGCATTTTCAAAGGATAGCTACTGCTGCTTCTTAATTATCAATGATACAGAGGGAGGAGAGGATTTAGTAATGCACTTAAGGTGGCAATGCAGTGGAGATAATATCCAAATCTTTTAAAGAAACACAAAATACAAATGGATCAAAGCAGATCTACTTGTTGGGGAGCTGATATACTGCTGTTT